GCGTCGTGGTCTGTTGCTCGTTTATTTTACTGCTGCTGTCGGGTTCTGTGATAGGCTGGAGAGGGGAGTGTGGACACGGGAAGATGAACAAGAACACGAGTAAGAAGGAAATGGTAGGATGGGAAGAAAAGGAAAATGAATAAAGGCAGGAGGAAGATAGAAGGCGAATCAAAATGAAACATTAAAGTTCGTAAGCATTAATGCGAGCTTAACACAGCCAAACAACAGAGACCTTAGATACAATAAAATGTAACATTTCACTGTTCTTACATTGTTATTTTCTTGTAAAAAAAAAAAATAGACAATTTTGTATGAAGATTGATAATAGGAAGGTATGAGAGGGCGAGAGGAGAAAGAGGGAGAGGAAAGCAGAGAGAGAGAGAGAGAGAGAGAGAGAGAGAGAGAGAGAGAGAGAGAGAGAGAGAGAGAGAGAGAGAGATGGGGAAGCCAGGAGGATGGTAGGGGGAGGGGAGGAGGTGCACGTTGAGGGTATGGGGAGGGAGGAGGGACAGGAGGAGGATATGAGGAGGGGAGGAGGGCATGGGGAGGGAGGAGGGGCACAATGAGGGTATGGGGAGGGGGGGAACGATGAGGGTATGGGGAGGGGGGGAGGCAGGAGGAGAATGCAAACACGCCCTCTCAGACACAGAAGCAAAGCCTGCGGGAGAATCGGCGCGAATTCGAAGAGCGAGGAGCGGCGCGCCTCCAGTCCTATGACTTGCAACCTCAAGGAACGAAAGAGCTTGTTTAAAGCGAAGAGCCCGAACGAGAATCGCGAGAAGAGTGAGATGAGGAGACGCTTACAAAGGACCCTTTTCATTTTTTTTAATGAGACGTTTTATTCTAGTGGCTGACAGGTCTGTTTCTGCGTTGCAATTGCTTAATGGCACTCAAGAATCTGGTGAATCTGAGGAGATTCTGCTGCTATGGTTTCTTCTTGTCCTTCTGCCTTGTTCCCTTGTGCGAGGGCGCGGCGAGGAAAGCTTGCTTTGTTTGCTGAATAATGTTTGTGGAAAGTGGTGTGATTGGCCGGAACTAGAAATGTATTTTACTGCAAGAACGACAGATCTTGCAAGATCACCCTCGACGTTTCTACCCCACGGCCTTTGTTTGCTCCGCAATTTCTCTCAACAAATATCGATCAAAAATCCAGTTGATTTCTCCAAGCAAATGTTTGGTTTTGTTCTCATCGCTCAGTGCTCGGCTTAAGTCGCTCTCGCTGCTCACTTACTGGCGTTTTCCTTCTTCCCTTCTTCCCGACTTCACTTTTTGTCTTCTCCGTCGCTTTCAGGCTTCCCTCCCCTCTTACCGCACTCTGCGCTTATCTCCTCTCGTACTCTCTCCCTCTCCCTATTTCCCATCTCTCATTGCTCTCTCATTTTTCTCTCATGTCCCTCACATCTCCTGTACCTTGTTTGCTTCCTTTCTCTATTCCCTTTCCCTCCTCTCCCTTTCCCTCTCTCTCTACTTGTCATCTTCCTCATTCAAGATACAATAGGGTGGGGTAGTTAGCGTCGGAGCACATCAGATGCATTCATGCTGTCCTGGGCTTCACTTCAGTCACGCTTAAGAATATTTAGCAGGATGCTCCTTGCGAGCGATATAAATACAGGCAACCATCCATAGTACACAAGCACACGTCACTGGGACGTGATGGGTACTTTAGAACTCTGTGGACCACAGGAAGACCTTGGGTAGTGGGCGGAGAAGGGGGAGAGGGGAAAGGGGAGGAAGAGGGAGAAGGGAGATGGACAAGGTCAGGGTCATGAGAGGAGAGAGAGAAAGGCGGGTTAAAAATATTTACGAAGACAATAGAAAAGACACGTGCTGTGATGACAAAAGTAAATACTAAAATGAAAATCGTAATAACCTTCGCCCCAGCTGTGCCGAATCGAATATGACAGCTACCAATTTTGTTGGCTTTTGTTACCTGTATTGCAATACATGAATAATTACATGAAAATGCACTTTCAAGGTAAATGAAGGCTTTGGGGAACATCAGTCATATACGTCATAAATGTGTAAGTGTAACAGAAACTGTAGAAAACGCAAGGAAAAGTGCAGATTTCTTTTTTTTTGGGGGGGATGGTTGGATTTTCGGAGATTTTCTGGAGGTTGAATTAGGCGAGCGTCGGCGAGGACCGAGCGCCAGTGGGGGAGGAGGAGGAGGCCGCACAGCCACAGCAGTTGTCCGACGTGTCACAGAGCTCCCCCGCCCCGCCCCGCCCCCTCTGCGTACTCGGTGGCCTCCGGGCTTCGCGCTGCCCGGTAACAGGTCACTCGGCGGCGCGGGTCATGATGGCATGAGGTCATTAAAGCTGACCTTCGTGCTGGCAACAACAACTGAGCCAGCTCTTGCGGGAAACCTGGGCGGGGGCGGCCTGTGTCCCCACGCCCGGCTGGGAGGCGATGGCTGTGCCGTGCCTAATGGCTCTCCTTTCTCGTTTCTGCCTTTAAGGAAGGGAAGTGCCTACATGCCCTCCCCCCCCCCCCCTCTCTCTCTCTCTCTCTCTCTCTCTCTCTCTCTCTCTCTCTCTCTCTCTCTCTCTCTCTCTCTCTCTCTCTCTCTCTCCTCTCTCTCTCTCTCTCTCTCTCTCTCTCTCCCTCTCTCTCTCTCTCCCTCTCCCTCCCTCTCCCTCTCCCTCTCCCTCTCCCTCCCTCCCCCCCCTCCCTCTGTCCCGCTCCCTTCACTCCCCTCCCTTCCCCTCCCCTCCCCTCCCCTCCCCTCCCTGTTTCTCCATCTCTCTTTACCTCTAGCAACTAGTCCCTTGCACATTGCACCGCGGTCGTCTCTCGCCCCTTTAATATCCGTGCATCCGCCATTCACACCCCTTTAATATCTCTGTCGCGTCTGAGGTCTTTGCAAACGCTTCGATTTTCCCCATTTTTGCAGTCTTTTATGATCAGACTCTTCTCTCTATTTTTTTGCATTTTAATACGAATTCGGAATATGATATTGGTGATCGGGAAAATGTTTTTTTTTCAAGCCGTATTGTTTAAAAAATGGTATTTTTGGTCGGGGGGATGTTATATTATCGTTAGTTTGCGGTTTATCGTTTCAGTCTTCGGGGTTCGCGTTGGCCCATTTCGCATCGTGCAAAAGTTGGGCATTGCAAATGCAGCGGGGGACAGGGGGAGGAGGTGCTAAATTATACCATTTAAAGTCGTGTGTTCTATTCATCATCCGTTCGGTTTGTGATTGAGGGTACGGGGAGGGGGTGGAAAGAGATTGTTATTTCAGGTGGTGAAGATTCTATGATTGTGTGTGTGTGTGCGTGTGTATGCGCGCGCACGTGCGTGTACACATACATATTCATATAATATGATAAGTATAATTATACATATGTATACATTATACATATTCGATTTCTGTGTATATATATACGTGTATATATGGATAGATACACAATATATATACACAAATACATTTACATGTATATGTTTAAATACATTTATATGTATATATTCAAATACATTTATATGTATATATACACATACATTTACACATGCACATGCATATATGCCTATATGAATATTACACATACACATGTATACATATGCATAAATAAATATACATACACATCTACATCTATATATTTATGCGTAAATAGACACAAATACTGATGCGTATGTGTACACGTGCACAAATACTACATGTATGATCGTAACTTGTATCAGAGACAGACACGGAGACGGGCAGTGCCTGCCCTGTCGCAGGAGCGGCCGCCTGAGCCCGTCGACTGACCGGCCGCCGCGCCTCCCGACCGCCGCATACAATCGATGCGAGGAAATCTCCGCGAATTCTCCCCGCGTCGGCAGCGACTTGGCTGGTCCGGCCGAAGAGGGAAAAACTGTCGTACGGAGACAATCAATAAAACCCTAGTAAATTTCTCGCGCGATGTCGGGTTCGTTGCTCCCTTTTTTCTTCGCCCTTTTGCTACTTTGTACCGCTTTATCTACCCGCAATGAGCGAGTCTGGGCAGAGAGAGCGAGGTCCCTTTTGCGTCCCGTCGCTTGGCAGAGGAGCTTCCTGGGAATGCTCGAAGGAAAGCTCAATCGCGAGGATTAACTTCATGAATTGGTCCGGTCATTCATGTTGAGACAACTAGCATATTCGTAAAAAGGTTTTAGTTAGTCCATTAATGAAACTTTAAAATTTGTGGTCCAAGTAGGGGATACACTAGTTACTTTAATTCAGTGGAAAAGAGGAGGTTTTAAGGAGTAGGATTGCGGCATTTGTAATTTAGAAATTGGTTCAGTGTGTCTTATCGTAGTGAAGGAAAGAAACAAAATGACGGTAAATGAAACGGATAGAGGAATGTGGCATCGCTGTGTGAGTGTGTGATGACGTGTAGTATATCCTCCTCTCCTCCCTTCCTCCCTCCCTCCGCCACACACCCTCTTCCATCGTTCGAGATATACCTTTGTCTGGGTAGTTGCTATCGTCCTGTGGGTTAATTCAGTAGTAACAGTCCAATGCAAAGGTAGGTAATAGTATATTAGTAATAAGAAAAAAAAATATCGGGAGAAGTATGTTGCATTGGGTGTGCGATCCCCCCCCCCCACTCCTCCCCATCTGACACGTAGTATATGCCACGTTGCCAAATATCTCTGGGGTGCCGCTCTCTTTTCTTTCTCTTCTCGTTGCAACTACGGCATTAAAACTCTAACTCAACTACACATTCTATAGTGAGGTAAAGCAAACGCACCCAATCGAATGGAGAGTCTAGCTGACGTTAAACATAAGGAGGAAAAGTCTTCACAGAGCACGGGGGCGCCGGTCTTGGCCTGTCCCGTCGTGGGTTTGCAAACGGCGATTTTCCCGAGCCATTTTCACGCCTCTCGTATAAGTATATTTGTCTTTTTTTCTGAGCATTCATGCGACGGTGAGATTTCCCGACAACCATCATATTGTGCGGAACGACTGATGATGAAACCGACAATGCGCAAGGTAGCCTTCGAAAGAAAAAAAGCGAGATATGTGGCGATACGACTCGCCTCCGCATTCCGACTTGCCTACCTGTGTTGTTCTTGTCACGTAATATTTAGATAGTGACACAACATAGCGGTTTCACCCAATTGTTAATCGTCTCTGCGACAGGAGTGCGTTTCTCTGGTGATATTTAAGTATATGGTGGTCATGGGCGCCGGTGTTATCGTGGGCACATGCAAGCACGCCCAAGTTGAATAAACAACTGTTGAGGAACATGCTTGTGCGGTTTACACTGTGGAATGCAGATTCTTGGAAGCGTGATTGTAAACTCAGCACAAGAGTGTTAGTTGTGAAACAAACCTAAGATCAATGTTATAAGACAAACCTAACCACAAGGACATAGTGTTGTGTAACAATCGTGAAGTGTCGAAACGAGGAAAATTGTGGCGTGCACACTGCATTACAACATCTGTAATGTTAAGTGACATGTAATCATGTAAATTGACGTGTGATGAAGAACGTAATTTGCTTGCACGTGGGTTAATAACTCGACCATATTGTTCGATGTTGAGTGGTTTGAACGTAAGATATGGAATAGGGTTCGGGCGATCATGAGGAGTCTAAACGGTGCGGAAGGGAAGGGTTTGATCTCCGAGGTTTGATCTCCGACCAAGGCGTTGGTGCTTTAAATCCGAGAATATAAGCAGTTTGGGGATTTCGGGATTTAGTGGGAAAGGAAACATGTAGACATGCCTGGAAGAACGAATTGTCTTTCACGCACTTTCCTCCTTACTGGGCACGCACATTCTCTCTCTCTCTCTCTCTCTCTCTCTCTCTCTCTCTCTCTCTCTCTCTCTCTCTCTCTCTCTCTCTCTCTCTCTCTCTCTCTCTCTCTCTCTTTCACTCTCTTTCACTCTCTCCCTCTCCCTCCCCCCCCCCCACACACACGAGAGAGAGAGAGAGAGAGAGAGAGAGAGGGAGAGAGAGAGAGAGAGAGAGAGAGGGAGAGAGAGAGAGAGAGAGAGTCTTGGCTCTGTTCTCATCAAGTTAGCAGTCAACTTCTAATTAAAGGATTGATTTGTACCAATAAAAGTTAAGCAATTTTGAATTGGTCTAATGAGGTTGTTAAGTGAGTCTTAACCGGATGTAATTGTTAGGAATTTGTTGAAGTGCTTGCGGGAGGAGCCTCCTGTTCTCATTAGCGGTCATGTATGATATATTGGGAAAATATATTAATGTCGTATGCATAAACTGCAAAGATATTTGATTATCGTTATCTCGTATAGATATTTTAGTTATTTTTATGGACAAAGTTTTCATAGAAGTCGAGAAGGGTATTTTATGTAATAATTCGTTATACATTTCCTATTTTATGGTATTTTGAAATACAAATACCCAAGCCTTCGAAAATGTCTAAAGTTTTGAGTGGCCAGCGATGGGAAACGTGTGATTCTTTCAAAGCACAAGGGTGGGGGGGGGGCAGGTTGGGATTTCGGCTGACAATTTTTCCGCGGATGATTTGTGAATTTAGAAATATTTTTGCTTGAGAAACAGCAGAGGTGAATCACGAGACAGACAGGCAGAAAGAACGTATATATAAATAAAGTATGCATACACATTCGCCCATCAGAATGCGCAGTAAACCGAATGTAACGAGAAGGACAAGGGCATCGCACGAGGCATCCTTATGCAACGACAGGACGTGCAAGCGGCGCCGCGTTCGTGCGCTTGTAGTCGATTTTCAAATGCAGTTTATTATATTAGTCATTAAGCAATTCGAGAGTAAGATAAGTGCTACGCCGTCCATCCATCACCCCTTGGAGTAGCCTCAGAACAAATAGAACGCCCACGAGTAGTCGCTCTCGGGATGGGGCGAGGAACTATCATTACTTCATTTAAACAGCTTTGAAGGGACGCGTTCTTCAGCACATGATAGTCCAGCTGTTCCCCGCCTCGACAGCTGGTGGTAATAAGCCATTGCCGAGCGCAGATGACGAGGGTTTGAAATATTAATGCGCGACTCGAGGAGTGATGGAGGCGGGGTTATTACGGCGTGCGCTGATTAGTTTTCGCCGTCGGGGTCAGATTCCGGTCCGTGGGGCTTATATGCTATGATGATCGAGTATTGGGGAATTAAGAGGCGGAGGGTGGGGGTGAAAGTCCAAAGGGGGATCGACGTATTTATGATGCCCGTTCCCTTTTTTTCTCACCTCAAGGATACGATTCGTTGTTTGTTTTTAAACGAACATGCGCGACTGACGAGGTCGCTGAGTGTCACGTTCTCGGGGGCGCAAACGGCAAATATCACCATCAGCTCGCCATTAGGAGAAAGTGAGAAAGTGAGAGTGAGAATGAGAGTCGGTCTTCTAGGTCCTGGCGAACACGACTTACATCTGGGATAGCAGACGTCAGCCACCACATGCGCCTGTTGGCGTCTTGGCCTCCAGATGGTGTGGATGAATGAACTATCAGGAGCGACTGAAGAGCAAGAAGACAGCTGGCTTGACAGAAGGTTGAGAGGAGGAAACCAGCTGTTGCAAGGACGGGGCGACAGCAGACAGGAGGTCGAGAGAAACAGTCTTAGGCAAGGAAGAACAGATAGCCAGGGCCTGAACCAGCTGTCTCAAGGACGCCAGATAAAGTAGGACGTTCAAGCAGAAGAGGAAACTGTCAGTGCCTTCAAAATGGTACTTGGCAAGGGTCAAGACCAGACGCCTGACAAGGCCTTTGCTGTCCCCCTTGCTTCGCCTGCCCCTCTGGCCACTGACCCCGGCGCAGTGACCTCTCAGCCTTCGGCCGAAGAGACTCAGTCCGCCAAGGTCACGTCTGTTGACTCTCACACCGCAAGTGATATTTCCCAGACTACTGCCGATGGTTCCGAGACGATGCAGATAGACGTTGCTGACCCTGACACCTCTCTGAGTACTATAACAAGCTCCCAGCCTACAACTTCTGACCTGAAGGCCCCTCAGCCCGCAAATGCACACAATGAGGGTTCTGTAAGCACGGTGGCCGATTCCGAGTCCCCTCAGGCCAAAACTGAAGGAATTGACACTTCTGGCCCCAGTGACCACAACAATGAGCCCACACAAGACTCAGCCACCATATCTGAAGCCTCACAGACATCAAAAAGCAGGACTGATCCCATTCAAACTATTATTGCTAGTTCCATGACCTCCCAGATGTGTGATTCAAGCACCGTTACTTCCCATAATACTAATACTCTTCCTGAGACCCCACACACTGCACCCAAAAATAAGACAAAGAAAAGGGGAGGAGGGAAAGGTAAACAAAAGGCAGAAGAGATTGTTGAAGAACCGGCAAGCAGCACAGGAACAACTGCCGCCAGTAACCCCCGGGTTGCCTCGTCACCACCTAGGTTCTTGCGAGTGAAGGGCCCCAATGGTCAAGTGACCACGTTCATGCTGGTGGTATGTGTGACAAGACAGTGTAGTGGACTTGGCTAAAGCTTCTTGCTGTGAACATGGTTGTGTGTGTAAACCGTCATGTGTACAAATATAAGATATATATACACTATCATGTCATACGATGGATTTGGTTGATGCTTTTTTGGTGGTACAAAGAGTTAAACTTTGCTTGGGGATTATGCTTTGGTATGTATTGGCATTCTTGTAGAATTTATTCCTGAATGGCTTCTCATTCACTCTTTTCTTTGTCACATTTTATTTATTCATATTGTTCATATCATCATCATTATTGTTATTGGTTTTAGTGTTGCTGTTGTTATTATTGTTGTTTTTGTTATTATTATTATTATTATTATTATTATTATCATTATCATTATCATTATCATTATCATTGCTAATATCATTATCATCATTATTATTATTGATGATAATGAAGATTATTATTATCATGATTATTCAATTATCATTATATTATTGATGATAATGAAGATTATTATTATCATGATTATTCAGTTATCATTATAATAATGATTATGAGTGATTGTTGTCAGTTGTTATTATTATTATTATTATTATGCTATTATTGTTATTGTTATTGTTATTATTATTATAATTATAATTATTATGGTTGTTATTATTATTATTATTATTATTATTATTATTATTATTATTATTATGATGCTATTATTATTATCATTGATTATTGTCATTATTATTGATATCATCATTTATTGATATTATGTTTATCATCATCAATCATCATCAAGAATATTAATTGTTACTAGTATTGGTGATTTCATCCTTCTTTGTTTCTTTCATCCCTCTCATGTAATTGTTTAGTGAGGGTTTTAAGCACTGCCACTTGTGTCCCTTCTCCGTCCCCTTCACGCCTTGCTGGGTCTTGTAGCTAGTTTGGAGTGGTTTAAGGAAGCTCTCTGGGCCTGAGTGTGGCAGCATTGTGTGTGGGCAACAGTGATTTTTTTTAAATTACTATTTTACCAGTGTTATGTAAAATCTTACCGCATATTACTCTTTATAGAGGAGTTGGAGAGGGAGTAAATCAAGAGTAAGATCATGTTTTTAGTAAAATACTTGGAAACTGTTAATTGATATTAATTAGAAAGGGAAACATTATCTTACTTCATGATAACTTGGAGAAGGTGAAAGACTGCATAGTTTTAGAAAGCAGATTAGATGTTAAAAGTAATATTGGCTTTCAGATCAAAGTTTATTTACTTTTATGTAAATGCAGATAGCTAGAGTTCTTAAACCTTTGATATATGTAAATGTATGTACTATATCTTACAGGAATGTCTTTTTTTCTAGTTTTATCAACTTTCATTTCTGTGACTCAACCTAGGAAAGCCAGCTTATGTGCTGATCAGATTTTTTTGCTTTCTTTGGCAGGGCCCGAATGCAGGACAAGGCCCACCCCAGTTTTTTGGACCTCCACCAGCGGGACCTCCTCCCCAGGGCTACGTGCCCCCATATCAGCCACCACCACAATACTCCCCTGTGGTGTCTCCGCCATTGACACAAGGTATGGATATCATTTAGTCAGTGATTTTTGTCAATGGAATTTTGATCATAGATTATGCTGAAATGTGTATGGTGTCATCATATTTAATCATCATGCTCTTTCAGCCTCGCCACCACCTCACTACACCCAGAAGTCAGAACGGCACATGCGCCAGTATGAAAAACCGCGAAAGTATTATCAGCGACAGCCGCAACACCAGCATGTTAACAAATCAGGAACAAGCAGCCTACACAGCACCCCTCCCTTATCCCCTAAGAAAGGTATAGTGGCAGATTTTGCATGATCGTTATTTGTTCTTTGGAGCCAGTAAAGTATTTAGAAGACATGAAAGTTGATTTTGATTCTGCTCATTCTATGTACAGTGAGACTTTTTTTTTTTTCCTAATTTAGTACATACATGGAGTACATACAGAAATTATTAGATACACTGTCTCAAAACCTTACCAGTCCAGATTAAAAAAATCATATATTCTTCAGTAAATCCAATTCCTTACTTACATTCTCTAATGATTATATTTTGGAAATATGGGTCTTACATTAAGAGTTGACATCCTTGATTTATACTACATGATATTGCTTAGTTGTTTAACAATACAAAGGATACATAAAAATTAACTTGGCAAATGAGGTGATTAACAATGGCACCTCTTAAGTTTATTTTGTTTATAATAATTTCTTCAATCAGTCAGTGGAATAGTATCAGGACATTTTAGTAATTGATACATCTCAAGGTCACCTTCAGAAAGAGGGGGAGCAGCTCATACACTAACCCTAGGGGGATGACCTGGAGGGAACTGTATGGTTACATGTTACATTTGATAGTATGGAATAATGCATAATTTGCAGTTTCATATAGGTTTGGGAGTAAAACCTCCAAGTAAAGGTTTGCTGTATGCATATGCTCTTAGTATTATTTATGTTCTGGATTTTGCATCACCCCAAACAGAACTACTGCCCCGGAAGAATGCTGGAGAAGAAGAGATCCATGCTGAGGATGGTGAGGACCCCAGAAACAACCTTCACCTCCTCCTGTCTCAGGTTAAACCCCCCAAGGTATGTTCCTGACAGTCATATCACTTGCTTTGCTCCTGTTGTGCTTTTTTTACAATTTTTATTTTTTTGTTTTTTCTTGAACATAAACTTCTTTATGGATATTGATATATGTACTTTTTTTTTTTTTTACTAAGTTGTTCCTTTCCTGCAGGTGATAAACTTGACTCCCTATGAAGCTGTTCTCCAGTGGTCAGCACCGGAGGTAAGCAGTCAGCAGCAGGAGGAGATCCCAGTCTCAGAACTCCTGTATGAGGTCTTCCTAAACAACAGCCTGCACAAGTCCATTGCTGCTACGCAAGTTACGATTAGTGGGCTCAAACCGGCCACGGAATATAGGGTCTAGTGAGTGTCATTTGATTCTCAGGAGACTTAAAGCTTGCCAGATGTGTTACTGCTAATAGCATATAAAGTGAATATGAATATTTTGCCATACAGTTTACATATAGGTTTTAAATTTAAATTTAAATTAAATGCCAAAATGTTTAGTAAAAACTCCGACTATCTGCAGCTTGCAATGTGTATGTGGAGGTGTGCGTGGTGATCCAACCAACGTGACTCCGTTCCACACTCATTCTACTGTGCCCGACACTCCACAGCAACCTAGACTTGCATATAGAACAAAAACATCATTACAATTCAGGTTTGTATTGATCACAAAAGAACCTTTTGCAATAACAGAATGAAATTAAGGATATAAGAATGTTACCATCTTGTTGTCAATATTGCAAGAGAGTTAACTCAAGCTCTATTTGTTATCTGTTCACATAAAAAAATCCAATATATCAAGTGTTAGTTGAAGTACAAATCCTAGGATTCTTGCACTCTTGTTTTCAGATGGGGTGCTGTTAAAGAGAATGGTTCAAGGGTGACAGCTTTTGTCCTTGAGCTGTACGGAGGTAGTGGTGGGAAATGGGAAGAAGTGTTTAGAGGGCGAGGAAAGCAGCACACTATCACTAAACTCACCCCCAACACTCGCTACCATGTCCGTCTGGCTGCAGTCAATGATCATGGGCAGAGGTAAGATGTGCAAGATTCGATGTAGACTGCAATGAAATGATTATGAAAATTAGAAAAGGATATAAAGGTTGCTTGTTGTTTGTTAATATATTTAATTCTTTAGTTCTTGTTGCTCACCCAACTCTTTTCCCTGCAGTGACTTCAGTCCGGAGGCAGTGGCATTTACAAGTGGCGTGGCACCTTCACAGCCTTCCCCACCCAACCTAGAGCAAGCATGTATAAATTCGCTTAGTCTAGGATGGTCTAAACAGCCTCTTGAGGAAACGTTTACCCTTCAGATGGAAGATTCAATGAATGGATATGGCTTTCGGCCAGTGTATAATGGCAGTGACACAAAATACGAGTGTCAAGGCCTCAGAAGAAATGCTGATTATAAGTTTAGGGTAAGGGTAATGCAGCAATATTTTACTGACTGATTGAGAGTGAAATGATGACAATATTATTTTGAAATTATATGTAATTATATTTTTGCCATGTTTGTAAGTGTGTGGACAATATTACTACTAGTGTTATTTTACTTGGCAGCTGTTTTCCCACAATGAAGAAGGCACATCACTTCCTTCGGATATTGTTTGTTACCGCACACTGCCTGACCGCCCAAAACCACCCTCCCCTGTGAGCGTAAAAGGTCGGCCCAAATCAAACAGGTTGTTGTTAACCTGGTCACCTCCTGCCGACCATGGGGGCTCCACAGTGACAGACTATAGTCTGGAAATCGACAGAGGCAGTGGTTCGTATTTGTTTTAGATGAGAAAAATATCTGATTTCTCTCAAAAAGTGTTTTTTTCACAATGTTGTACTTAAGCCTTGCTTTATATTATATCCATGAAAGATTTGTATTTCATTATTTGTGCTTAAATTAATAGGAAGAATATCTGCCAAAATGAAGTGCAGTTACTAACAAAGTCTTTTTCACTCCCAACTTCCAGGTTTTGAGCTCATTTACTCTGGGAAAGACACTGAGTTTGAATGTTTGAACCTCGAACCGGGAAAGAGCTACCAAGTACACGTTTTATGCATAAGTTTAGGCGGCCTGAGTGACTGGAGTGAAACTGCGGTGGTGACCACAGAGGCAGTGCACCCGGGTGTCTGCCAGCCTCCTCATGTATTGGGGAAACCTAAGGCTTCCATGCTGCAGCTAAAATGGGGTATGTAGTCATGTTCTGTCTAGCTCTGCATGAACTTCTCAGTCTATATGCGTTATCTTTTTTATTGTAAAAAAGGATCTGGATGTTGAGAGATTAGCGAGAGCGAGTAACAGAGGAATATGGAAAGAGAGACAGATACAGAGAGAAAGAGCGCGCGAGAGAGAGAGAAATACTGAAAGATAGACAGATACAGAACATCTTGTGGAAGGAAAGAGAGAGGAGGTAATGTCAGGGATAGGGAGATGAAATGATTCTGTGATTTCATCAAGGCTTAAAGCTTGGATTTTATTGTGTGGTATTGACACTTTATGGGTTATTGTTGTCAGAAGTACTCTTCATGTTATACCAGATATTAGGTTTTAACAGCAAAGAAAGAAATGTTCCTCACCTCTGACCATCATTACTTAACCCATTCCCCCCGGGCATGCCATGCCATGCCCACTGTGAGATTACTTGTTGGATTGTTTTTACACATAGATGGCTACACTTGTACTAAATCACCAATGAGCCAGTTACGAGTACCGCCTGTCTCGCCCGTTCACCCTTTTCTTTGATTTACAAAATATTTTACCTTATCTTATTTTCCTGTTACTAATGTTAAAAAACATTATAAAAATTATAATGTTTATAATAAAAATAACACCATCGATATTCATGGCACTAGTGAAAAATACGTTTTTCCCACCATTTCAAAGCAGGCGCTAACAGAGCCATCTATGGGCAGACATTTAACAAAAAAGTATAGAAAATAGGCACAGCATTTTCCCCATTTTTGGTTCATTTTCCCCGGTGGCAATGGGTTAAGAAAAGTATATTGTATCAGAATGGGATGTTTTTGCTTCTGACTTTCTCATTGCTGGTTTATACTGTGTGGAGAGCTTAATAAGTTGGTGGTTTCACAAATAGGTATTAATTTCTGTGATCAAAGAAATCATTTCACTGATTTGAAGAGAAATCTATAAATCACTACTTAGTTGATGACTATGTCTAATTTTTGAAGTTGCAGTTTATTTATTGATTTGTTGCATTTCAGCCCATCCTGAATATAATGGTGGAGCCACTGTTACCGAATTCCAAGTGGAGATGACAGCACCAGACAATGAGAGAAGGCAGGTCTACTGTGGCCGAGACCTGGAATGCACTGTTGCAAGGTCAGTTTAAAGAAAGTTACAGTAACTTTGGTTTTGTTATATTTGTTACATTTCTTTTTTCTACGTGAGATTTTGATTTTACTTGTTTGTATAAGATGTGGGTTTCCAGGATAGGAAAATCTTAAATCGTATCCCACTTTTCTTCCTTGTATAGCTTACTACCAGGTCGGCCGTATATCTTCCTCGTGCGTTGTGTAAATCGAATGGGACCAGGGCCATGGTCAGAGCCTCTCGAGGTTGTGAGTGGTGCTGGCCCCCCTGATGCACCCCACTCCCTACACCTGGCTTGCCGTGGCCCACACTCTGTCCACCTGGCCTGGGAGGAACCTATAAACAACGGAGCTGCTATTGAGCAGTATAGCGTTCAAGTTGCAGAGGTAATTGAGAAAGAGCTGTGATTACTATTATTGTAATTGTTTATTTATTTATTTTATTTTATCAGTATACCAAGTGGTTATATCCCCTAAACCCAATGCTTGTGGGCCAGATAAAATGCTGAAAAAAGACAATTTTGGGGTGCATAAAACATGGTAGTGTGTGCCAGGTGTGGGTAACTAGCACATTTGTTCCAACCACGTGATTAGACTGTGGTACCAGTAGCTTGACACATGTCCCCAGCATGTCAACCATTCTTGGCATGTGATGACTTCCCCACCACTCATAAGCTTTGACAGTACCATAGCTTATGAATTCAGAGTGAGCATGTCTACAGTAGTTTTAATTCATGTTT